GGTGGTGGTGGTGGTGTGTGGAGGGGGAATTCCTGCCTTGGCTCACTTGCTTATGCTTATCTGGAAAAGAGCCCCAGCCCCCAACGAAGTCCTAAATTGGTGAGCAAATAGCTGCTTCAAGGAGTAGGCTTGCAGGGGAAAGGGGCAAATTCTAAAACAAGACGTCTTCTGTGAGAACGTGAAAGGAGAAAAAAGATACTAAAGTGGTAGCAAATGTAAAGACCTAGGCAGTAACAGCTACACTAACAGAAAGAGGTAAGAACCTGCTATGATATACTTTTCACAGCCCCGAAAAACCAAATCCACTGCCACCAAGTCGGTTTAGACTAATAGAGGCCCTATGAAGGGCAAGTTCCTTCTTAGGGTTTCCGAGATTGTAAATTTTCACGGGAACAGACAGTCATTTTTCTCACGCAGACCCACTAGTGGGTTTGAATCGCGGACCTTGCAGTCAGCAGTCCAACGCCTAACCCACTGCTCCACCAAAGCTGCTTCCAACAGCTCAGGAGAGCAGAATTACAACCAGGAGAGGGAGTGCAAACTTCGGAGGAGAGTAGGCAGCGGAAGAGAGGCGGGGCAAACGGGGCAAAGACCCCCCAGGCAGGTTCTGGGAGGGAGGGCTGCCGCGGCCGCCAGTTGGTCAGTGTCAGCTTCTTAACAGGGGCGAAGGGCAGAGACCGACCGAGCAGCTACCACAAAGGAGCTGTCCAGGCTCGCGGGCTGCTCATTAAGGGGTCACCACGGTTCCTCCGCCCTCTCCAATTCTGTCCTCTGGGCGCAGGGTGCGAGCCCAGAAGGCGGTTACAAAATGCAGAGCGAAGTTGCAACTAGACCCAAAAGCACACATACACACGTTAAAAACAAATTCAAGAGGATGGGATTTAGTCCCTCGCTCACAATAGACTAAGACACTACTTTACGGTGGAAAATTTAGAGAGTTACCCATTTCCCCTTTAGGTTGAAACGTTTCTCCTTAGTCTGCAGAAAACCGTGGATTCTGCTGTCTTCTTTTGATCATTCATTATTCGGACAAACGGAATAAAGTTTCCCATTCGGATTTGATTAACTATCTGGAATTGGTAAACTTGAAACTCAAAACACATTCTTGCACTCCAGGTTTGTATCTTGTCAGCAGACATACTCTTGCCAGCGAACAGGAGTCTGCACTCAAGGTGCAATGGAGGAAGAAAGTAGGGAGAGGGGAAAACGGATAGGCAAGAAAAATTCTCGGACTGGTACCTGTTGGCTGTTCTGTGCGCATCGGCTCCGGGTCTGGTTGCGGCCACTGAGCCGCTGCATCCTCTCTCTCGGTCTCCGCGCCCCTTGGAGGCAGGGTTTCGTCGTCCAGGACCCCGCACTTGGCGCCGCCGCCGCCACGCCGCCTCCGTCGTAGGAGGTGGAACTGCGGCCGCTGAGGCGGCTCCTCCCCAGTGGCCAGGGGGGCAAGGCGCACGGTGGCGGCTGCGGGCGCAGGCTGGATGAAGAACTCCTCGCCCTGCAGGTAGAATGCACCGCGAATGCCCTCGCAGAGGCTAAGGGCGGCGGCGGAACCTGGGTCGCCGTTCACTGTGCCAGAGTAGAAGCAATGCGCCAGGTCGCCTACGGGGTCCGAGAGCCGCGCTTCGGGCCCCCGTCTGCGTCCCACGGTCTGGAGGGTGAAACCGGGCGCCAGGAAGCCACGATCGGGCTGCAGCTCCAAGCGCAGCTGCTGACCAAAGGCATCCAGGCTAAGACGCGTGGTCTCGTGTCCTGCGGCGCGTTCTAGGGCGGGCAGCACCAACTCCTCGTCCTCCTCCGCTGGGCGCCCGCGCGCTCCTGGCATGCCCAGGAGCACCGCTGCGAGCAGCAGCATCGCGGATTGCAAGCTCCAGGGCCGCCGCTCGGTCTCCGCGTTCCTCATGTCGCTGCCTGGCGTGCGTTTTCGGAACCCGAGTGGGTCGCTGTGTGTAGTCAAACCCAGAAGACACCGCAAGCTGTACACCGATGAAGGGAGCTATTGTTCGGGTGGAGAGCGTAAAACCACGATAGTCTATCTCTGGATTGTTAAAAGTTAACAAGTACAATGATACTTTGAAACTGCGCGAGCCCGGCTGCAACCCGGACTCCTTGAGTCACTTGGGAGGAGGAGCTGCAGCTCTGCCGGCGCGCGGGAAGTTTCTCTTCTAGCTCAGAGTGCGACGTACCGGGCGGTGGGCGCAAGCGGAATGGCAACTGCAGAGACAAGAAGGGTCCCAGGGCAGAGGGCCACGCGAGGATCGTTCCCTCTGCCTCCCCTCTCAGGCCTCCGCCTTTGCCGCGGTGTTGCTCACTCGCAGGTCTCTGCCCTCTCAGTCCTGCTGCAAGCCTTGGCTGTGCAGTCACCCAGGACCCAGAGCCGCTTCCCAGCGAGTGCAAGAAACGGGCAGCCCAGGCCGTCCTTTTATAGTCCTCGAATGTGTTCCCTCCCTTCTCCCTTCCTCCCCCTCTTGGCCGCCTCACGATCCCCGAAGACACCGCCCCCTTAGCTCAGCCGGTGCTAAACCGCGCTCAGCGCCGCGGGCCGGGGCGGGGGAGGGGGTGGCCCCGGCGCTGGCTCTGAGCCACCGGATCGTTAATTTGGGAGTGGAAGACGCAAAAGGGGTGCTGCAACCAGTTCTTTGTACTGTGGGGTTTCGACAAAGAGAAGGGTCCATCTTCCACCGCTCCCTCCTTGCCACCTACTCCCGGGGCCACACTCCTTTTCCACTGTTCCCCTAATGTGAGGGGGCCCTTAGCGAGTTCGGCAGTTCTTCCCAGGAGGTCGGTCAGGGTGGAGACTGAGTCCCTTTTCCAAGATTTTCCTGCTCGGATAGCTGGCCCCAAGCCCACCCCCACCTCCCACCCCCAGCACCCTCCTTTCCAATCTAGGCTAGGTGCCATGATTGCCTTTTGTAGAAAAGTATTCCACCCCATCTGCATCCCCACCCCCTGGCCCAAAGCGTCAGTTCTCCTCGCCCCAGCTTTTCTCGGGGAAAGCTTGGCTGGCCCCGTGCCTCCCCTAGAAAGCATGTCCGGGTGGGTGGACAGGAGGCACGTCTCAAGCGCTGGATTTTTAAAATATATTTTCATTGACATCGTTCTCCCCACCCCCCTGCCATCCAGCCCTCGCTGCCACTGAGACTTGTCTGTGGGGACTCTGGTTCACTTTTCCGGAATAGGTGATCTGAACTGCGGTTCATTTCCCTGGAGTTTAAGGAGGGAATTTCGCTTTCTCTTCTTTTGAGAAACATCAACTCCCGCCCAATCTCAGACTCTTCAATTTAACAGCAACCATTTAGGATTTAGGCTAGAATTTTTTCTTCTCGGGGTTTGAGGCAATCTTTGGGATTAGAGAGTGTGCAGCTGGGGAAATTAGGAAGTCGGCTTCCTTCCTGCATCCACCCCCCCCACCCCTTCTCACCAGGAAAGGAAATGGCCGCATCCCTGTTACGAAAGCAAAAAAAAAAAAAAAAACAAAACAAAAAAACCCTGAGCCTTCCCACCTCTAGGCCCCGAAGAAAAAAACTGAACAGCTCTTCAAAAAAAGAGGGAGGAGGGGCTCAATGACACAAGAGGAAGGAAATGTTTCACAATGCTTTTTCTCAGGCGGAAAGCCACAGGGACAATGGTGAGAACTGCCGCCCAAATCTCGGGACAGACTGGTGCCCCTCACACTCGCTCACTCCCACTTATGTTCGCTCTACTAGGGCTCCTGTCCCGATGTCCCCCACCCAACAAGCACGCTCCTCAATTTTCACCAAATTTTATCTCGGTGATAAATTTCACTCCTCTTTAGGTCTTCGCTCCTTCAATTTGTCCCAACCAGAAACGTCCCTTTTAATCCTTCAAAACTTCTGTCTTCTAACTTTTTCTTTCAGGTTATTTTCCAACTTCCTCTTTTCTCTTAAAATTTAGATTGCTTACTTGAGAAATAAAACAAAACAAAATTTTGCTTTCCACTTTTTTAGGAAAGATCAAATGAGAAAGAATGGCACAGGGAAGCAAAAGGACAAACTTAGGAATGGTTGCTTCCTTAAATGTAATTCTGGTTTGCTGAGGTCACTGTCTCAGTTGGATGCTGAGGGCTCAACTCATATCAGATTTATTTTTAAGACATTTGGGATAATGTTTCCTTCTGTTATACATGAATTAAGGAGATTCCTCTGCAACTAACATTTCCAGTTTCTCTCCTCTTTTGTTTTTGTTTTACAAGGCTCTGTCACCTCATTCTATTTCTCCTTCAAAATTAACATTAACAACACTAGTGACAATACAATCCTCTTATTGTCCAACCTAACTCTTGGCTATCTTTCAATTAGGAGATATGTCCCTGTCTGCTTTCTAATTCTCATTTCCCTAACATCTGAATTTCCCTACTTTCCATTTTTGGTTCCAGACATTCTTCTTATTTCCCACTTCTGTTACAATAGTTCCTTACCTTTTTATATTTTCATGTTTTCAGTTCACTTGTTCTTTTTTTTTTTTTTTTCGTTAGAAGAAAGGCCAGGCCCTTAGGAGAGATTTGATTAAAGTCATTTTAAGCTTATAGGATTTTGACCATGCGATCATGGAAACACAATGACAAAGCCAGAGGTTTTCAAACCCCTTGTTAGAAAGGGATTTGAAAACAATATGTGGTGAGAGCAACTGGGGCTTCAGACTGGCATTGAGGTAGAAATTTCAGATATTTGAAATGGCCCAGAGGCCAGAGGGGCTTACCTGACAAGTGAGGATCCATGAGATTTCTCTGAATTGAGATTCTCTAGAAAGGGATATTCAAAAGCCTTTCAGAAAGTTTATAACTTTCTAAAGAGCCAATAATGCATTTCAATTTGTCAATTGCATTGCGTGAATGTTAGCATTTAAAATATATCAGTAAAAGTTTTGCCTGGGTCCATGTCTGCCGCAAGTCCATTCTTACTAGAAGTATGTTTGATTCAAGGCATTCCTTTCTCATTGTGGATTAGTTACTTCAAACTTATTACAATTTTTTATATTTTTCATGTTGTATACTCAAAAAAGCAGGGAAAAAAAAAAAACAAGTAAAAGTCAAAAGAGTGGCCAGGAACATGACTTTTTTAATGCACTGGGTTTCTCGCCAGGTTTCTGTTTTTTTGCATAATGACTCCAATCTGTTGTGCACCTGTAGTTCTGGGAAATGATTCTTTTTTAACAGCTTCAACAGAGTCATGGATGTAGGACTTGCCAGTTACTATGTTGAAAAACTCCATCATGCTCAGAAGTACATTTAATCCACAGTTTTTTTTTTTAAAAACTGGTACTCGTCAGTCATTTTGTTTTTAAGCAAATATATGTTGTTGTTGTGAAGTGTCGAGGAGTAGGTTCTGGCCCATATTGAGCTTGTATAGGGTTTCCAAGGAGCAGCTGGTGAGGTTGAACTGCCAACCTTGTGGTTCAAACCGACTTTGCAGTCCAGTGCATTAGCCCACAGTGCCACACCAGGACTCCAAGCAGATATATACATATAGCATATATGTTTATTTATAAACAAGACTTTGGATTGAAAAATATTTCAATGTAGAAACAAGACCAAACATTAAAATTTGTTCATAACTCTAGTGAAGTGACAACAACTATTTGTTGTTCAGTGCCATCAAGTCGGTTCTGACCCATAGTGACCCTGTGTAGGCTTACCGAGGAATGACTGGTGAGCTTGAACCATTGAACTTGCAATTCAAACTGACTTTGTACTCCAGTGCAATTAGCCCACAGCGCCACATCACGACTCCAGTGAAGTGACAGCTACTATCGGATCCTTGTAAATTAATTCCATACACCCACCCTTATAAAATATTTGCTATTTGATTTGAACATGTATTCAAAAAATCAGTCAAACGGTGTTCTTAATCCCATCAGATTTCTTGTTTCCTTTTTATAGAATGCATATAAAACCAAGTTTTGATGTGTCATAATGTATAAACCTGAACTAATTTTTATTAAATAGAGAAATAACACAACAAAAAGTGAAACAATTGATATAAATATTAGTGAATATTTTGACCTTTTAAATGAGTTCTTGTGAGTAATGCACAGAGGGATTATGTGGAAAATTAAATATCTTGTGCTCTTTTGTAAAATAAAGGAACTAACATTAGGATATCCATTTTTATTTATGTCTTAGCATTGGTAATATAAGGAGCCCTGGTAGCATAGTGGTTACGAATCGGGCTGCGAACATTAAGGCCAACAGTTGGAAACTACCAGCCGCTCTGCGGGAAAAAGTTGAAGCTTTCTGCTCCCGTAAAGATTTAGAGCCTCGGAAACCCTGTACAGGGTCGCTATGGGTCGGAACCGACTCGACGGCACTTAACAACAACAATCGGTAATATTGGAGTCCTCCTGTGGTGCTGTGGGATGGCAAAATTGGTTTGAACCTCATGGTATAAGCCCCCCAGCTGCTCCTCAGAAACACTATACAGAGTCACTATGGGTCCTATACAGGGTTGTTATGCTTTGGAACCAACTCTACTGTGAATGTTGCTTTCAATTCAATTTCATTTTAATGTTAAATAGGAAATTTCTGAAAATAGAAAATTTCCACCTTAAGAGACTCACAGCCTTTAATAACTCATTTCCAATCCACAAGGTGGCGATCGTCAATAACAAATAATGTTCAGCTCTGCATTCTTAGTAATTCAAGTCAGAAATTTTACAATGATTTTACATCTCTTCGATCATATTTAATAATTCATTAGTAAATTTCTTCCTTTATTTTTGGATTATGGAAAATATGTTTGAACATTGAAATTTAAGTATAATTATGTTCTTACGAGACTAATAAAACGCTTTGGTCAACAACGTTTCATTATGTATCTCTATTGGCTCATACCAAAA